AAAAAAAAAAAAAAAAAAAAAAGAAAGAATGAAAAATGAAAATACTACATATGCTTTCTAAGCCTACCTCCATTGAACTGATAGTCGAAAGCAGAGATCTTAGATAAACCCTGTGTTCTAAATTAGTATTGGTTGACTGGCTGTACCTTTGAATCAGTGTATTATATTTCACTTTCCAAAAAACAGCTGCATTTTAATAAGAGCCTTTTATGTTAGCGTATTCCCCATAGAGACAGAGAGTTAGGCCTGCCAATTGTGTGTGTATTGTTCTGGCATCTATAAGGCTATCTGAAATAAAATCATAGATTTTAGGAACTGCAAGTGACTTTGGACTTTTCAACTGTCATCTAGGGAGCTTATTTGCCATTTCTCATGTGACATCTGCCTGAACAACAAGAAAAATTTCAATCAGACTTTGAAAAATAATAAAGTGTCATTTTAAAAACCAACACTTTATTAAATTGACAACAGGTAAATCATTAAGAATTAACACACAGACTATTTTATTATCTTAGTTTTAAATTGCTTCTTAAAAATGATTCAAGAGTTTTTTTATTTTTTTGTTTTTATTTTTATAGAGATGGTGTTTCTCCCTGTTGGTCAGGCTGGTGGTCTCAAACTTCTAACCTCAGGTGATCCACCCATTTCAACCTCCCAAAGTGGTAGGATTACAGGCATGAGCCACTGTGCCTGGCCAAGAGTTTTGTTTTTATTTATTTATTTATTTATCTTGAGACCGTGTCTCATTCTGTTGCCCAGGCTGGAGTGCAATGGCATCATCTTGGCTCACTGCAGCCTCTGCCTCCCAGGTTCAAGATATTCTCTTGCCTCAGCCTCCTAAGTAGCTGGGATTACAGGCATACGCCACCATGCCTGGCTAATTTTTGTATTTTTACTAGAGACAGGGTTTCCCTATGTTAGTCAGGCTGGTCTTGAACTCCTGACCTCAGGTGATCCACCCGCCTTGGCCTCCCAAAGTGCTGGGATTTCAAGTGTGAACCACCCTTCGGGCAAGAGTTCTGTTTTTAATTAATGTATTGTTTTTTAATCTCTGTTTGTTTGTTTTTCCTGTACTATTAAACACAAACTTCCTGGACCACAGGGAAGACTATAGGGGATTTAGGGGAATAAAGAAGGGAGCGTAAAAGATGAATGAACTGCTCCAGCAGGAGAGGACTTGGGGGTAACCGGGGCTAGTGGGTACCAGCCTGCAATGCATTGGAAGCACTCAGGGAGTTTTTGGAAATGCAGAGTCTCAAGTCCTACTACTAAGATTTTTTTTTTTTTAGATGGAATTTCACTCTTGTTGCCCAGTCTGGAGTACAATAATGCGATCTTGGCTCACCGCAAACTCCACCTCCCGGATTCAAGAGATTCTCCTATCTCAGCCTCCCAAGTAGCTTGAGATTACAGACACCCACAACCATGCCAGGCTAATTTTGTATTTTTAGTGGAGATGGGGTTTCTCCATGTTGGTGAGGCTGGTCTCAAACTCCTGACCTCAAGTGATCTGCCCGCCTTGGCCTCCCAAAGTGCTGGGATTACAGGCGTGAGCCACCGCGTACGGCAAGTCCTACTACGGAGATTTAGATTCAAAAGTTGTAAGTCGTGACCCAGGAACATATATTAAATTTCTCTGGTAATTCTGATGATCATCTGACCCGTTGCATCTCCATTCAGTTCAGTTCTTCTATTCTACACGGCAAATGACCAGAAGTGGTTTTCACAAAATTAATTAGTAATCAGAATTGAGGTTGGAATCCAAGGATCCGTATCCCATGGATTCCCTTATCCATGTTCCTTCAACATTACCATATTCAAGGAAGAGAGGAATGAGGGGCCCATAGGCTGAACAGTGAGAAATACAGAGGGCCTAGCTACGTGCCTTTACCTTGAATAGCCCTGATATCCTATTCTGAAGAATCTGACTCAGCAGTTCCATTGGGGTATTTATGACAGCGAAAGTTAGAAAAAACTTAATTGACCAACAATAGGCTACTGGATATATAAATTATAGTACATAGTTATGGTACAAGGGACTAATACGTGGGCTTTAACAATGAGCTTTATGCCTACCCTCACTTCCCCGGTGTGTGATTTTGAGGCTACTATCTTAAGAGTAAAACGAGTTTGGCTTGGCTACGTGTTCTTTTTTTGTTTGTTTGTTTGTTTGTTTTTGTTTTTGTTTTTGAGACGGAGTTTCGCTCTTGTTACCCAGGCTGGAGCGCAATGGCGCGATCTCGGCTCACCGCAACCTCCGCCTCCTGGGTTCAGGCAATTCTCCTGCCTCAGCCTCCTGAGTAGCTGGGATTACAGGCATGCGCCACCATGCCCAGCTAATTTTTTGTATTTTTAGTAGAGTCGGGCTTTCACCATGTTGACCAGGATGGTCTTGATCTCTTGACCTCATGATCCACCCGCCTCGGCCTCCCAAAGTGCTGGGATTACAGGTGTGAGCCACCGCGCCTGGCGGCTACGTGTTCTATCATCACTGTTCTACCAAGGTATGTATTTCAATGCGGAGTGAGAATTTATCTGTGTAGCCTCCATGGAGTTTTATTTGCATTATCTACGTGTGTGTGATTTAGACCTTTAACAATTATTCATCTATATAAAAGTATATAGATGTGTACTTTTAGCATGAAAATATAGTCACAATGCACATACACACAGAGACAAAAATTCTGAAGTATATAGTACCTGAAAATATTGACAGTGGCCAGGTGTGGTGGCGTGTGCCTGTCGTCCCAGCTACTCGGGAGGCTGAGGCTGGAGGATCTCTTGAGCCCAGGAGGTCTGGGCTGTAGTGCGCTATGCCTATCGGGTGTCCGCACTAAGTTTGGCATCAATATGGTGACCTCCCGGGAGCAAGGGACCACCAGGTTGCCTAAGGAGGGGTGAACCAGCCCAGGTCGGAAATGGAGCAGGTCAAAACTCCCATGCTGATCAGTAGTGGGATCGTGCCTGTGAATAGCCACTGCACTCCAGCCTGGGCAACATAGCGAGACCCCGTCTCTAAATAAAAAAAAATGATAATAAATAATAATAATAATAAAAAAATTGACAGTGGGCTTCTCTGGGTAATTGAGATCATAGGAATTTTTTCAAAAGTTTACTAATCATATTTCACATATTTTTCAAAACATATAATCAACACATACACGAAACGCATTCACATATAAAACCAGAGGTATTTATGGTTTTGGAAATTGGTTATTCATTGATTCTTTGTTGAACCAAATACCAATCCAAACAAGAATAAAGATGATAAGAAGTTACAGGTCTTTTCCTTTGTCTGCTTTTCTGTGGGCTCTTCAGGATTTCATAAAACTGAAATAAAATTATGCACCATGTCTATATTTGAATTGATTGTATATTTGTTGAATGTCTGTGCTTACGTGAAGACTCTTCCTAGCATAAAAATGTGCGTATCATAATAAATGTTCATTTTTCTTTCCCTTGGGGATTTGATTAGTGGTTTAGGAGGACATGGTACAGAGGGCTACAATAATAAAAAAGTAGACCAGTGTTTTGTAAGAAGCAAGGAGTGAGTTCTGTAATTGACCCAATATTAGATCTACAGCTTTCCCAAAGACATTGCTGCCTACTGCGTTTATTAATAATTTAGCTATAGTGGTACACAAAGGAAGTGGTTTCTGTTTACTGAGAAAATATTGAAACCTCCATTGAAGATAAGGTTATACAGTCTAGCAATAAAAATGTATGCGTGTGCAATATATTACTGTATTTTCTGAGTTGACGGCAGCTCTAGTAAGTCAAAGGTGGTTATTTCTTCTATGAGACAGGCTTGTGATGGAAAGAACATTTCCTGATTTTATGATTCTAATCTTGTCTCTGCTACTGACTTGTTATGTGATCTTGGGTAACAGCTATATTTAAAGTTCAGGGTTCAAAACAATCTGGCCCTCTCTATAGACAGTGCATTTAGATATGTGCGTATCTCTACAAGTTTAAGTACATGTGTATATATGCGATATTTAGCCACAAGCGAAATATACAAAGTTCTTATAATATATTCATCTACTGGCTGGGCACAGTGGCTCATGCCTCTAATCCCAACATTTTGGGAGTGGATGGATCACAAGTTCAGGAGTTTGAGACCAGCCTGGCCAACATGGCGAAACCCCATCTTTACTAAAAATACAAAAATTGCCTGGGTGTGGTGGCAGGCACCTGTAATCCCAGCTACTCAGGAGGCTGAGGCAGGAGAATTGTTTGAACCCGTGGGGGCAGAGGTTACGGTGAGCCAAGAATGCACCACTGCACTCCAGCCTGGGTGACAGAGCAAAACTCTGTCTCAAATATATATATATACGTGTGTGTGTATATATGTGGGAGTATACGTACACATGCATTCATATACTAAGAATTTCAGAGTCCATGATCTAGATGTCATTTTTTTTTAATATTTTTTTTTTTGCCGGGCGCGGTGGCTCAAGCCTGTAATCCCAGCACTTTGGGAGGCCAAGGCGGGTGGATCACGAGGTCAAAAGATCGAGACCATCCTGGTCAACATGGTGAAACCCCGTCTCTACTAAAAATACAAAACATTAGCTGGGCATGGTGGCGCGTGCCTGTAATCCCAGCTACTCAGGAGGCTGAGGCAGGAGAATTGCCTGAACCCAGGAGGCGGAGGTTGCGGTGAGCCGAGATTGCGCCATTGCACTCCAGCCTGGGTAACAAGAGCGAAACTCTGTCTCAAAAAAAAAAAAAAAATTTTTTTTTTTTTAAAGACAGGGTTTCACCATGTTGGTCAGGCTGGTCTTGAACTCCCGACCTCAGGTGATCCGCCCGCCTTGGCCTCCAAAGTGCTTGGATTACAGGCGTGAGCCAGTACGCCCGGCCTAGATGTCATTTTTTTAAAGATCAACTAAAAATAGAATATCTCATTAAGTCAGAGCCCTGGAACATTAAAAGCTGAACATTAAAAATATAGGGCTGGGCTGGGCAAAGTGGCTCACACCTGTAATCCCAGCACTTTGGGAGGCCGAGGCGGGAGGATCACCTGAGGTCAGGAATTTGAGATCAACCTGGTCAACATGGTGAAACCCTGTCTCTACTAAAAAATAAAAAAATCGGGGCCGGGCACGGTGGCTCACGCCTGTAATCCCAGCGCTTTGGGAGGCTGAGGCAGGTGGATCACGAGGTCAAGAGATCGAGACCATTCTGGTCAACATGGTGAAACCCCGTCTCTACTAAAAATACAAAAAATTAGCTGGGCATGGTGGCGCGTGCCTGTAATCCCAGCTACTCAGGAGGCTGAGGCAGGAGAATTGCCTGAACCCAGGAGGCGGAGGTTGCGGTGAGCCAAGATCGTGCCAGTGCACTCCAGCCTGGGTAACAAGAGCGAAACTCCGTTTCAAAAATAAATAAATAAATAAATAAAATTTAAAAATCAGCTGCGTATGGCAGCGGGTGCCTGTAATCCCAGCTACTCCGGAGGCTGAGGCAGAATTGCTTGAACCCGAGATGCGGAGTTTGCAGTGAGTCGAAATTGCACCATTGCACTCCAGCCTGGCGACAAGAGTGAAACTCTGTCTCAAAAAAAAAAAAAATTAAAATATATAGACGTTGCATTGCAGCAGCTTTGAAGAAAGAAAAAAAGAAATATATATAGGGATGAAGTCTGGGCACAGTCTCATGCCTGTAGTTCCAGAGCTTTGAGAGGCCGAGACAGGCAGATCACCTGAGGTCAGAAGTTCGAGACCATCCTGGCCAACACGGTGAAACCCCATCTCTACTAAAAATACAAAAATTAGCCTGGCGTGGTTATGCGTGCCTATAGTCCCAGCTACTTGGGAGGCTGAGGCAGGAGAATCGCTTGAACCCAGGGAGCAAGTGTTGCAGTGAGCCGAGATGGCACCACTGCACTACAGGCTCAGCATATGTATGTGTGTGTGTGTGTGTGTGTGTGTGTGTGTGTGTATTTTATGTGTGTATTTTATATGTGTATATATACACATATATATATAGAGAGAGAGAGAGGGAGAGAAAGGAATGACAACACAATGTGCTTTTTTTTTTTTTTTGAGATGGAGTTTCGCTCTTGTTACCCAGGCTGGAGTGCAATGGCACATTCTTGGTTCACCGCAACCTCTGCCTCCTGGGTTCAAGCGATTCTCCTCCCTCAGCCTCCCAAGTAGCTGGGATTACAGGCATGTGCCACCACGTCCAGCTAATTTTTTGTATTTTTAGTAGAGACGGGGTTTCACCATGTTGGCCAGGATGGTCTCGATGTCTTAACCTCATGATCCACACGCCTCGGCCTCCCAAAGTGCTGGGATTACAGGCATGAGCCACCGCGCCCGGTCAGGTGCTTTTTATAATACCCGCTCCTTACTGCCTTAGAACTATTTTGCTAGTTTTCTAATGGTGAGGACACCCTACTGAAGCATGAGGCAAATTACTGGGTTGGGAATGTGATGTGGTGACGTTGGCTTTATGTTTCTGGAGTCTAGTTCTGTCTACCCCTCACACACCTGGGTGTATTCTAGTCCCGTGGCCGCAACAGTGGTAGTAACTAGTATTTGTTTAGTGCTTATTGCTTGTCAAGCCCCGTGCTAAATATTTTACATGCATTAACTCCTGTACTTTTAATTGTGTTGATTAGGAAATGAAGCACTGAGATATTAATTGACTTGACTACGTCTACTCAGCCTGTAAGAGGCAAGGCCGGGATTCAAATGTAGGGCATCTGACTCCAAAGCCACACCCTTAGCCATTCCCTGCACAGCCTTCTCTGTGAGATCACTGCCAGTCTGCTCATGGAGCTGGTCTCTGTACTCACATCTCATTCACAGAGCCTCTGGGTTTATGCACAATTAACATCCCTAAATAATGAATAAATGATACTGGTATTTCTCAGATCAATTGCAAGATACGTTGTTAATGGCTTGTTTCAAATGATAAAGGATCAAAGTTTGTAAACTGTCAACTAAAAAGTAAAATAGCAGAATCAACGTTGACTGGGAAATAGAGTCATACTTTATTCATTGGCCTTCTTATGTGGTAAAAAACAAGCAAAATATCTTAGTGGCTTAGCACAAAAGACTTTGTTTCTTTTCTTTTTTTTTTGAGACAGAGAGTCTCGTTCCGTCGCCAGGCGCCAGGCTGGAGTGCAGTGGTGCAATCTCGGCTCACTGCAATTTCCGCCTCCCGGGTTCAAGCAATTTTCCTGCCTCAGCCGCCTGAGTAGCTGGGACTACAGGCGGGTGCCACCACACCCACCTAATTTTTGTATTTTTTAGTAGAGACCATGTTGGCCAGCATGGTCTCGATCTCTTGACCTTGTGATCCACCAGCCTCAGCCTCCCAAAGTGCTGGGATTACAGACGTGAAGAGTTTATTTCTCACTTACACCAAGTCCTCTGAGCAAGTCAGCAGGTCAGCTTGTCCTTACAGTGTCTTGGTACACAGGCACCACTGTCCCAACGCAAGAGCTCAGGAAAGAAGCTGCAAGATCAGGTGGGGCTCTACTCCTCAGCCTGAAATGACATGTCAGTGATGCATTGTTTCCACTCAGAAGTCACTGGCCAGAATGAGTCACAGCTCACTAAGCATGGGATCTGAGACGTGCAGTCTTCCATGTGCCCTAGGAGGAGAGGAGAGCCAGACGTGGGTAAACCCTATGGCGGCTTCTGTAGAGAGAAAGCAGCAGGGCGCGGTGGCTCATGCCTGTAATCCCAGAACTTTGGGAGGCCAAGGCAGGAGAATCACAAGGCTAGGAGTTCAAGACCTGCCTGGCCAATATAGTGAAACCCCGTCTCTACTAAAAATATAAAAATGGCCGGGCGTGGTGGCATACACCTGTAGTCCCAGCTACTTGGGAGGTTGAGGCAGGAGAATTGCTTGAACCTGGGAG